CCTACCCCCACTGGTGCATCTGGATTTGGGTCAGCATTCCACACATTATTGTTGAGTTCATAGATAAAGAACTCTTCACACTCTAAGCCATGCCTGCCTCAGAGTAGAATGGGCTTTGTCCTAGTGGCTCCAGCATGCATACTTGAGGCACATAGGCAGGGAAGCTGGTCCCAGAGGGTCATGAAGGTCTACTTGCCCTCATGCCTGGCCGTTTTCCAAGCTGGCTCCTTTGGAAGTGTTCCCTCATTGTAGTTTCACTGTGACACTTTCATTATCTTGGCTGTCTCTGATATCCACAGTCAACATATTGCCACAGTGATATTAGAGAACAGATGGCCTCACAGCCCCAGGGACATGCAACAGGAAGCAATGGCTTGGCACAGGGGTCCCTGGGTCCAGATGAATGGCTGAACTTGGCCTGGCCTTGGCTGCCCTGAATCAGGCCATATTGGAGAGTTAGTTGCTGGTCACCTGATCTCTGGTCACCACAGCAGGGACAGCTGGGCTCTGCACCATGTGTCTCTCCTTCCAGCAGGCTGGCGTGGGCATATCCCCATGGCACATTGTGTTGCCATGACGACCATATGAGCTGTGTGCTCCAGCCCCCTTGTCTGCTTGTGCTTCTCACCCCATGCCCTACAAGCTGCCCAGAAGCCACTGAGATCAATCCATACTGAAGGTTCTGTGAGGTGGGAGAGCAACTCAAAGCCACATAGCTCGCAAGTGTCACATCTCAGGCTTCACCTGAGACCCTTCCTTAGTCTCCACACCCACTGAGGCTCCAAGCTGTGCCTTCTTCAGCAGCTGCTTGCACCTGGTCATTGCTACTAAAGCACTTCTTTTGCCAAATGCCAGAGCTGACACCAGCCACTCCATGAATATCACTTTCCTGAGGACCCACTCACTTCCTCAAAGTCCTTCTATGTAAGCACCCCTGGGCAGATAGGTCAAGTATGCAGTGGACAGAGCTGCTGCTCTTCAGGAGGAGGGAGGTCAGGTCCATGGATAGGCAGGTGTGATCAAAACTATATTTATTACAGTAAAAGACACTGCTGTGAGTCTCCCTCAAAATCCTCCCCTGCTCTTTGAACACACTTATCCTACCATTCTTGACACTTTCTGAAGCAGTTCTAGAGTCCCCTTTCCTGAGTGTCTTCAGTTGCACTGTTGTGGCTATCTCAGTGTTCCAAACTGATTCAAATGTTTCCCCTTCATGGTCATTTTGACTTTGAGGAAGAGCCCGAAGTCACATGGTGTCAGATCTGGTGAAAAAGGTGGATAAGGACAGTATTATGTCTTTATGAGCCTGCCTTCCTGTTTGATGGCATTCGTCAGCAACATTAACCACATTAATAACCAGTGAAGACTCACAAAAGAGGACTTTCCAGAAGTGCTACAGGAAATAGCAAGAACAATGGGACAAGTGTATTCGAAGTGAAGGAGAGCATTTTGCAGGGGATTCGGGGCAATGTGTCTTTTACTACAATACTGTATTTTTTATTGAAATATTCACAGTACATTGTGGCCACCCTTTTATTGAAAACATGGCTCATGTACATAGTCTCCGTGCTCTCTGGTAAGAGTCCGTGGAGAATGCTCTGTGACCATGAGATTCAAACTAAAGCATTAAGCGACCCCTTTCTTCTCCAGACACCCCTCAGTCCTCATGACCTGGACAGGTCCCACGTGGTTTGTCTGCTCCCAGACTGAGGGGCTTGGATTCCAGGGTGTTTGAGGAAGAAGTGTAGCACATTTGGGCCACCCCAGGGTTTGGGCTATCTCAGGCATTTTTGACAATTCGAACCTACCTTGTGTTTTATAGTGCATCTTATAAAAAATGGTAATAATAGTAGATTGCAGCAAGTAACCCCAAAAGGTAGATGGCTGGGATTCTAAACTGTCCTTCCCTCTGTGCATTAAAGGAGATGGCTCATTGGGAGGTGAGCTAAAGATGACAGGATGTGGCAGTGGAGTAACAAGTTGGAAACGACCCCATGGGGAGGGACAGCTGTGTCCTTGACAGGGCCTGGAGAGTCGTGAGGTCTAATACAAGCCCCAGTCTCAGCCAGCCACATGTCCTTGGGCAACTTGTACCATGCTCTGGGTCCACTGAGAGATGAGACCCATAGGAGTTGGAAGAATTAAGCAACAGAGTTGTAAAGTATCCAGAGCGAGCCTGGAACTTCTGACTCCACCAAGAGTGGCTGGTAATATGATTGTGATTATCATTAGTGATATTACCATACCCTCTAGAAACAAGGAATGATGGAATAAGTGCAAAAGTGCCTGACTCTTCAGAATGTCTGTACCAGTTGCACGGATATTATCATCACTAACACACTTCCTGTGGGCATCTTAAATTTGGACTTTGTACCTGGTTTTGTTCCTTTATTCTGTTTGTTTGTACAATTTGTTTATTGGCTTTTCCAGTGGGAATCTGTTTTCTAGTAACTGGAAAGAGATTTATAGGGCGGTGTTTTATAACCACTATGGCAGCCTGGCCTCCCATGCCAAGTGGGGCGCTGAAGCTGGCAAGGAGCCACTGTGCCCGGCAGGCCTCCCAGAGTCTGCAGAGGTGCCTTGTCAGTGGGTATCTGATCGACAGTGAGCATTCCCCCTGCTCATGGCCTTGGGCCGGGTGATCAGCATGGTTTTCCCCAGCTGTTACTCCATCATGGTAGATCCATCCATTTCTCATCCCGACCTGCACAGTGACATTGGAGTGTGCTCCATGGAGATCCTTGCCCTGGAACAAGATCAATACTTAACATGGGAGCTCATGCTTGGTGAGATGGTTCATGAACTCCTGCATGGCGCTGGCTGTTTCAGTGAGTTGACTGTGTCAGTGACAGACAGTTTATTTAGGTCTTGGTTAATCCACAGATGTGCAGTTCTGTGTTCCAATTACTGAATTTGGATGTCCTTTCAAGGGTAATGCTATAACCTGTATATTTCTGGATCAGCCAACCCATATGGTGAAAGAGGGCTTGAGTCCATTATAATTTGGAAATGTATTTTCTGGCTTATCCACAAGGGTACAAATCACAGCATTAATTATTTTTAAACTGACATCTTCAAAAACAACTCCAGGCAAATGATTTTGTACAGATTATGAATGTATCAATCAATAAAAGTTATATTTAAGATTGCTCTGCATGCCAAGTCTCCCGGCTCCTGAGAGATAAGCAAGGTATCAAACAGAGCCTTTACCTCTAAGATCTCCCTTCATCTACAAAAATTATATAAGAATACAAATTCAGGGTGGAAAAATTAGAAAATATGGATAATGATTACAAAATACAGGTAGATTTATCACAAGGAGAAATGTGGCTATTATTTTGATAGATGACCTTAAAAACTCTTATATGCAAATATACTTATGTAAGTGTGTGTATGCATATATAAACCTAGACGATTTAACAAAAAAGAGAAAGCCCATATGCTTTTGTAACACTTTTCATCTGGCTACGTATTGAGAATGGTTCTTCATCACTAAATGTGGATTTATATAATCCCGTTTAACAGCATTTCACTGGGTAATGGATCATAGTTTATGTAACCATCCCCTGTGGTATCATTGGCGAGGTTTTGATCATTTATTATAGTCAGCAGTTTGGGAACAAATATACCTTTGTGCAAATTTGTCTGATGTTTCCACAGAGTCAGGTGTTAAAGCATATACTTTGGAATCTTGCAGACTAGTGGAAGAGACAAAACACATACTCATAAAAAGAAAACAAGTTCAGACTGAGGGAGCTGGGGACCAAATTAATGCCACAGCCAAGAGTAGAAGGCTTCAAATCATTTCATGCTTGGGTCGTGACAGGCTTTGTGAAGGACAGCTGTGAGTGACAGAAGCTCAACTCAAAACAGCCTAAGTGCCAAAGGCACGTTACTGGTCATGAGATTAGAAAGTCAGTTTGGTTTCAGACTGAGCCAGGCCCAGGGTTCATACACATTTCCTTGGACATGTCAGTGTGTGTGTGCTAGCAGGCACGTGTGCCAGCTCCATCTCCTGGCTGGGTTTGTGGCTGTCTGGGCAACATTCTCAGGTCAGCTTTCTCTCTTGCATAAAGAGAGAGGCCCTGTCCCTAGCTTCTCAACTGACCCCTACAGGGCTCCATAGGTCATCTGCACGGGTTGCTTGCCTATGCCTTGGGGTGAGGATAAAGGCCCCATGCTGGAGAGCACATCGCATTTGGGACATGTGTGGGAGGTCAGTAAGGGACATCACTAGCAAGGGTGGTGGAAAGAAATCAACCCCTGTAGATGCTTTGGGCTACTGGGCAAAGCCAACTCCCAGTGAAACTGGCCTCAACAATTCTATGGTAAGGTAGAAGTCCAGAGGCAGAGTGGACTCTAGCACCATAAGCTCAGTGATGTGATTAAGGGCTCAGGTGCTTTCCAACTCAGTGTCAACTTCATCCCAAGTCAGATCTCCTTCACTATGATTGTCAGGGGCAATTAGGAGTCACAGCCTCCTGTCCATAGCTAGCAACCTAGGGTAAGAAATGCTTCCCTTTGGCAAGATTGGTAGAACCTTCCCTGATATCTGAACTTCTAGCAGGGGAGATTAGCAACAGACAGATCGATTGAACATACACCAAAAATAGGAGGGAAAAAAAAAAAACAAGATAAAGGTGGTAGAGAGAAATAGCTGGAGGGAAGTTATGTTGGCACTGGACCAGGGACCTCAGGGTATGAGGGAGTGGGCAGCAGGGTATCAGGAACAGTGTTCTGGACAGAGGGAACAGCAAGTATACAAGCCTGAGGCAGTGTCCGTAGCACACTTGGGAGTGAGTAGGTGACGGGAGTAGTAGGCACTGAGGAAAGCTGGACTGGGTCACATGGCCTCTAGCAGACTTTTCAGAGGCACTGTACTTACTCTGCATCAGAGGCTAGGTTCCTGACTACAGAAGATATCATTAAAGCACAAGGTGGCAAGACCCTCGCCTCTGGCTCTGCCTGAATCTAACTAACTCTTTCCTCCTGTCTTCCAGGCCATGTATATGTTCTACGCCCTGGCCATTGTGTGTGATGACTTCTTTGTCCCCTCCTTGGAAAAGATCTGTGAGGTAAGCGCCTCAAATTCTATGCTCTTGGTGGTTGCAGCTGCTTCCACGAAGTCCTGGGCAGTCTTGGCCAGCAGGCACCTGCACACTGAGAGAGAAGGCTGACATCTGCTCAGAACTGCCTCCATCCACTGAGAGTTTCAGGATGCCAGTGGATGGCTGGACTTAGACCCAAATCTGGCCATCACTGATGCTGCCCTCTCCCTTCGTGTCCACAGGCACTTGGTTCCCCGACACTTAAGGTGACCATAATCCATCAGTGTCCAAGTCCCATGTATAAAATTGTGTAGTATCTACAAAAACCTACGCATGTCCTCCAGTACACTTTAAATCACCAGTACAGTAGAAATACTACGTAGATGCTGCTTCTGTTTTTCTTTTGTGGTGCTGGGGATTAGAACCCAGGGCCTCACACCTGCCAATTGAAACACTCTACCACTGAGCTACATCCCCAGCCCTGTACTGTGCTGTTGAAGGAGTAATGACAAGATAAGAATCTGTACATACTCAGTACATGTGCAATTATTTTTCAAATGTGTTCCATTCACCTTTGGTCGAATGTGCAGGGTCAAAACCCTTGGAGATGGAGGCCCCACTGTACCAGTGTTGTGCTTCCCTGCTTTATTTTCCTCCTTGTCCGGCCCTTCTTTTCTCCAGTCTTCTACTTTCTTCTGGTTTCCTTCTGCTCCCACAGCCCTCCTCAGGTGCCCCTTGGGGTCCTAGGGTGAGACTCCCATTTACCCACATCTCCCAGCCATCGTCCTCTCTCTGCATCACAGAAATGTCCTGTGTGAAGGCCTAGGAGGCACTGATATGAGGAATTCAGGCACAGAAGTGAGGACAGTGGGTGCTGCCCTGTGCCGTATCATCACAGCGAGCGCCAGGCTGAACTGCACTTCCGCCCCTTTCATCAAAAAATACTCATCCTATACAGAGCTCTCTCGTTCTCCTGCCCCCTTTCATCTCTTTGTCGGTTCTGAAATATACTTTCTTTTAGCTATAAGCTCTGCATTTGATTTAGGGTATTTATAATTCAGAATCTCGGTTTTCAGAAGCGAGTTGTCCCAGACATACCTCCCACCTGAACCCCAGAGTCTTACACCAGGGGTCTCTAAATCCTTGAGGCCTTCCCCACTCCCCACCCGAACCTGTGGGTCTGGTGTGACCCCAGGGAAGGGCCAGGGTTTGTTTCCACTAAGTCCCTAGGTGAGGCTGAGGCTGCTGTCTGGAAGCCACACTTGGAGAAACGCTAACTTACCCAGCCCCTCCTGCACCCTGGAAGCTGTTGCTTTTCTGTGCAGATAGATAATCATTGCATGATAACCTTAGAGAGGTCATGGGAGTGGGACCTCTACGTGGTGACAGTGGAATAAGGAACGTGAGGTGGTGTCCGAGACGCCTGTGCACAGGCATGGACGCCCCTGTCACAGCAGTTCAGCCTAGGTGCGGGATCATTGTGTGTCACAGGGGAGGAAGTGTTCAGCACCTGTAACTGAGGTCCGTTGTGACCTCTGAAATACAGAGGTGTCCATGAAGGGATAGTTCCAGGACCATGTCAATGCCAAAACCCACACCTACTCAACTCCCTTATATAAAATGACCATGGTGATTGCTTGAGACCAATTGTGGACAATGCAGATTCCTTTCCCAAATAATCTTTGACTGCTGCAGGTACAGCTGCTTTGGTCTCAAGCAGGTACATGGACATGACACAGCCTCCTGTGCACACTGAATCTCTCTCAATGACCTACAATGCCGAATACAGAGCAAATGCTAAGTAAACTATATTTAAACTGTATAAACTATATATAACACCAAATACAGTGAAGATGCTATGTCCTGCTATATGGTTATTGTTCAAAATAACCAGAAAGAATCTGGACATATTCAGTGTAGACTCAGTTTTTTTCTGAATATTTTCCATCTGAAGTTGGTTGAATCCATGGAGGTGAAACCCAGGTTGCAGAGGGCCAACTGTACCACCATCTGATGGGGCATTCGTCTTACAAGGCACAGTGACTCTGTCCCTTTCCCATGCCGCATCTTCACTGTTAAGAGCAATATATTATAGTCTAGAAATATAAATTCAGCTGTCAGCCTGTGCCATATTTAATTGGGGAGACACCCAGAACTGGTAAGAGGTCTTGTAGGGAAATGCTTGGTTGCTATAGTGGCAAAAAGAGAAGGCAGGAGTGAATGTTTTTAACAAAAATGTTAAGAGGGGGAAAAAAGAAAATAAAATGCTTAGTGGAAGGGAAATATGATTTTTTTGTTGTTGTTGTTTTTTTCTCCGGTACTGGGAACTGAACTCACGACCTTGCGCTTGCCAGGCAGGCGCTTTGCCGCTGAGCTAAATCCCCAGCCCCTGGAAATGTGATTTTTATTGGGCCTCTGACATACCAGAAACTGGCTCAGCTACTAAAGGAGTGTGGCTTGGATGGGCTCATTTCTCTTTATCCCTAAAACTCTACCAGGTGACTACAGTTATCCCCTCTTTAGCAAAAAAGAGGCCAGACTCCAAGAACTGAGCATCTTGCCCAGCTCACGAATCTGCTTGGGGCTGGAGACATGCTCTGAATCCAAGGCAGGTCCCATAGGCTTCGTGATAGTGGTCCCTCCACTCCACAGGGTGAGCTCATACCAGCCATCAGGGCTGGTGGACACTGAAGAGGGACCCCTTTCCTCAGCTTCCTGTTCCCACCCCAGGGCTGATGTTAGGAGCAATGTCAGTGTAATAAGAGCAGAATGGCTGTCTGCACAGATGCAGTCAGCCCTGGTCATCTAGCAGGCATCCACCTACGTGCGAACCATGGGTGAGCTAAGGACAGAGCTGTCTGTTCAGAGATCCCAGATGTTCATAGCTCCAAGGCCTGTGACCACCTCTCCCTGGGGTTATGGCTTCTCACAAGATGAGGGGACCATGGCACTTTTCACCCACCCACGGTGGCAGGGGCTTTCTTGGCACACCTTCGCCATCCCAATCTCCTGGTGACTTGAGAGCTTGTACCCAGACGTTGCACCTAGACCAAAGTTCAGGTGGGGCAGAGAAATCAAAAGGATGTTTCAGCTTTTGTGAAAGGTGATTTGGGAAAAGAATCTGTATGGCTCAACAAAATCATAGCTAGGGGTAGATTCTCATTGGTCTGACATACTTTGAAAGCAGTTCAATCAGTTGAAATAAAAAAAGAAAAAATACAGGGCTGTGGAGAGGCAAGAGAGAGGAAGTGGGAGGACGAAAGAGGATGAACAGGAGAGTAGAGCTTTGATGAGAGGGCCAGACCCTGGTGTTTGCAAAGTTCCTGCTCTTTCTCAACCCTGTCTGCCTGAGCCATAGTTTCCCTTTTCCCTTTGTGTGAAATAGCAGTCCTCAGCCAGGTTGCATCTCAGGACATGTGAAGGTGTCTGCAGCAATCCTGTGAGATGGACAGATGGACTCAGCTGCCCTGACGTGAAGGAGGGAAGGACCATTTGGGGGATAGCAGCATGAGCACCAATCAGGGAAGAGAAGGGCTTGTCGCTCTTGAGGATGGGAGGTGGCATCTTTGGGTTGGGCAGAGGCTGATGGAGGAAAGATGATGTTGGACAGAAAGGGAGGGAAGCTTCAGGGAGATTTCTAGGGCAACAGTGGGACGTTCTGAGCCATGAGAGATGACAATGGACACAGGACATGGTCCATCCCATTTATAAAAAGCTCTGAGCTGCGCTCTGCCAGGGTCATGCACTGCGCAGGGCTGGGGGGGAAGCAAGACAGAACACAGCATGGTCCTCGGCCCCTAACGCACCAAGGTCACAGCCTGCAGAGCAGCTGGAGAAGGCTGAGGCCCGCATAGCCACATGCTCTGCACCCACGCCTGCAGTCATAGATGGAAAATGTTCTTTAAAAAGTACACTGTACTGAGTATGTGTGGACTTTGTCTGGTCACAATTCCCTAAACACTACAGGAATAGTTATTCACATAGCATTTACATGGGGTTAGGAACTGTAGGAAATCTAGAGGTGATGTACGGTACACAAGGGGATGTGTGTAGGTTACATGCAGATACCACACCATGTTATTGAAGTAATTTGAGCACCTTCGGATTAGGGCATCCACAGGGGTTCCTGGAACCAGACCCCTCCATATCGAAGGCTGACTGCACATGGTGAGAGAAACTGGAAAGTGCAGAGAGACGGAGTTTGCCTAGTGGGGACCCAGGGTGAGCTGGAGGATCGGTGCTTCGAGGGAAGGTCGCACTGGCAGAGCATTTCAAGAAAGGGTATTTGGGCAGAGGGCAGAGGCAAGAATCCCCCTTGGGGAGCCTTAGAGGTCAGGCAGGGGCATCAGAAACTATGCCCTGCTCGGGAGAGAGCTTCGAAGACTTTCTCTGACTGTGTCATGGTGGTTAGAAGTCCCAAGATGTGAAGACCCCTCCCCGGTGATTCTGAAGCTGTTGCCGGAGCTGAGTAGATTAGAGATGAGAGAGAGGGATGGAAGGAGATATGGAGGAAGAAGAAGCCAGCTGGATGGAGAGACAGGGGAACAGGGCCCTCCTCCTGGTCCCCAGTCCCAGTGAGACTGGGTGTCCATCTTCCCTTACAGTCACACCTTTAAGAGTTGAGCCCATCTGGGGTCTCCTGAGCACCTCACCAGAAAGTTAGCTGTCCAGGCCACAGCTAAGGGACCCAGGATGCCATATCAAGTGGGTCCACTGGGCTCCTGCCACCACCTGTCAGCAGAGCCCACTGTCCCCACCGTGGCTGAGCCCTGACTGTGAGCCCCTAAGCAGCCAAGAAGAGGGACCATGGCCCCCAGACCGGCAGTGTCTTCTCCAGGCCTTCAGAAGGAATTGGCTACTTCCCAGCTTGTGGTGGAGGGCAGAGAAGCTGCCCAGCCCCTAATGTGTATCTGCCTTGTCTTCTTGCAAATCCCCTATTGATGTAATAAGCAGAGTGACCTGGAGGTCCCCTGTGTGGCCTGTCTCACCTTTTCCTACTCCATCCCAGGTCCCCAGGACAGGACAGGGCTGGGGGTTCAGAAGTGTGGCTCTGGAGATACCCCAAGGCCTGCACTCTCACCGTGAGCCTCACTCAGCCCAGGATCATTGAGTTAATGTAAAATTCGGGACATTTTGCATACAGATCTGGATTGTTGGCACCTCCTTTGAAATCAGGGTACAGCCAGCCAGAAGGCAGGAAGGAGTCGGAGCCACAGGGGCCTTGAGCCACTGTCTACAGGCCCTCACATCACAGCTGCACTCCTCCCTGTCACCCAGTGTTCCTGGGGCCATTAGAGTCGGGGACCTCTGATTTGTGAGGACTTAACTTTCCTCAGGAGAAGCCCTGAGCTCTGCAGGTTTGGAGCCCAGCCCCAGGTCTCACGGGAGCCCCCAACTCCTGTTCTCAGGGGGCAGTCACCCTCAGCTCTGTCTTCAGGTGAATCCTCCTCACCTGTGTCTGTCTTTGCTTTTCTGCAGCGCCTGAACCTCAGTGAAGATGTGGCAGGGGCCACGTTCATGGCAGCAGGCAGTTCGGCGCCAGAACTGTTCACGTCAGTCATAGGTAGGTGACAAGGTGGGGACCACTCAACCTCTCCATATCTGAGAAAGAAAGGGCTCTGGGGACAGATTGTCCCTGGCTAGGACTGTCTGCTGCAATAGCAACTGAGAGTCCAGGGTCCCTGCAGGACATCAGCCTCTCCCAGGCCACTGTTTTATTGAAGGGATGGTTTAACCATGTAGGACCTGGGAACCATAGTACACAGGAAGGGTCCCCTGGTCCCCCGGGGGATGCAGCAGCTACCACAGCAGGCTGATGTTGGGTCTGTGTTCCAGGCGTGTTCATCACCAAGGGCGATGTTGGCGTGGGCACCATCGTGGGCTCAGCTGTGTTCAATATCCTGTGCATCATTGGTGTCTGCGGGCTCTTTGCAGGGCAGGTAAGACCATCAGCTCCTCCCCGTCTGAGGCAGGGGGTCATCCTGCTGGAACATGACCCCCATGGGAGCCCAGCAGTTGGGATCTCACCAGCTGGAACTAGAAACTGTATGCCACCCCATTTGTTCTCCAGGTTGATGGAATGGAGAATTTCCAGGTCCACATAAATAATTAACCAACCTGAAAGTTGTGGGTTACAAATTTAAAGGTGTCAGGCTCACTCCGTGTGTTACTGATCTGCACTAGAATGACCTGAAACAGTTTTAGTAGGGTCTTACCACAGAGGAAATAAAATAAATGAGAGAGAAATACAGAAGAAGAAACGGACTTTTTTCTGCTAAAAACCACTTGGAGCCATCAGTTTAGGATGCAAACTTTCTTTACACAGAGATGGAGGGTTTGAGGTCCATGTTTGCTTTAGCAGCTGGAAGGGGGTGCTTTTCAGGCCTGCCGTTTTCCTGGAGACTGTTCCTCTGCTGGGGGGTTCTGGGTCTAGGCCCTTGAAGATTGTGGGCATCTGTTTCGGAGAGTTGGGGGGTTTCCCCGAAGTCATCAAGATGTGAGGCTGAGCCAGGAGCACAGGTTGTTGCAGCAGCTGTGAGCAGGGTGCAGGCTTGCAGCTTGCAGGCAGCTCTGGGATGCTAGTTTCTTCAGAGGGATTTACTCAGAACAGTGCAGTCCTGAGTCCTCACCCAAACACCTAAGACTCTCTGCCCTCTAGAACAGGTAATTTCTAGAAGTTAGCAGAGGCAACTCCACCTGTGATAGTGAGGAGCCTGGTGAACCTAATACCTGGTCAGCGGCCTCCGTGTAGTGGGCGTGGTGTCCTGCCAGCCATGGCTGGTCAGGGCAAAGGACTACACATGCTCCCTGAAGCCTTGCTAACACCCCATCTCTCCAAGGTGGGCTCCAGCATCTACACACTGAGTTTTCTCTGCTTTGACCCATGGCCGCCAGCTCCGTGCCCACTGGTTGGTCTGGGTTGCCTGGTGTGTGAGATGCTTCCAGGCAACAGGCAGAGGGATGCCTTGATCTTGTCAGGAATCCGCTCTGGATCCCCAAGTAGAGCTTCTGGTGAGAAGCTCCTGGACAGACCTTTCTGTTCATGATGATCCAGCTCTGCCCGACTCTCTAGGCTGAACATTTGCTGTTTTCTAATCCTTTTTGTTTAGTGATCTGTTCTCTAGATTTTATGGACCCACATTCAGATGCTTTTTAATTTTCCTGTACATCAGGAGAATTTAATTAAATTTTAAGATTTATTATAGGAAAAGGCACGTGGCCATTAACCTCCACCCCCTACCCTTCACCATGCACACATTCATCCCATCATGCTGGACACTTTCTGCAACAGTTCTGGAGTCTTCTTTCCTTCCTTTTTTTTTTTTTGTTTTTGTTTTTGTTTTTGTTTTTGTTTTTCTTCCAATACCAGGAATTGAACTCACGACCTTGCACTTGTCAGGCAGGTGCTTTGCCGCTGAGCTAAATCCCCAGCCCCCCTCTTTCCTGAATGCCATTATGAGGTGTGATGAGAACTACAGTGAGTGCTGCTGCTGAGTACCATCCAGTGGAAAGGCAGGCTCATAAAAACATGACTCTGTCTTCACCCACCTAAGTCACAGGATCTGTGTGATTTCTGGCTCCTCTCCAAAGCAAAAATAATCATGAAAGGGAAGCATTTTGAATGGATTCAGGATATAGAAAACTATGACAGCATAACTAAAGATACTCACAAAAGAGTATCCAGAACTACTACAGAAAGTGACAAGAACCATGGGATAAGTACATTTGTGGTGTGGGGAAGGGTTTTGAGGGGGACTCATAGCAATGTGTCTGTTACTGTGATTGTGTGTGTGTGTGTGTGTGTGTGTGTGTGTGTATGTGTGTGTTATTAGGGATTGAACTCAGAGCCTTGTGCATGCTAAGCAAGCACTCTACCACTTAGCTACATCCCCATCCCCAACGTGATTTCTTTTTAATGTGAGCATGCACCATGTTTTTCAATGACACCTCGTATGTGGTTAGCACTGAAAACCTGACTATGCCATTGCATTCAGCGCTGGTTGCAAGCCCCTGGCTACCCCCCATCCTGCCCCTCCTCCTCATCATCACTTTCCTGAGATGGATGTCACCACACCTTAAGATGTTGCTCTTAGCACTCTCTTAATTAGCATTGTCACCATTAGTATGATTATTACGCCTGCTCATTAGTCATTTGTACCTGAAGCTTGATTTAAAAGCAAGCCCAAAGCAGGTGAGATAATACAAAGAAATGAAACCAATGGCTGGGCGGTGTGTAGTCAGCATTACTGAGGAGCTCCTGAGGAAGCAGCTTGAGGGAGCATTGGTGTGGAATTAGCAGCAGTGCAGTCGGCGCTGCCGGGTCAGACACCTGCATCACAGCCTGCAGCTGCGGGACTTGAACTTCAGCAAAGGCAGCTGTCTGTCACGTGTCCCCTCCACAAGGGTTCTGCTGCCTTATCTCAAGACCCGCAGGACTACAGAAAGAAATGGCTTCAACAATGCTGTGAGAAGCAGCTTCAGGATCCTTGCTCCTGGCCTTTCTTCTGACTTTCCTTATCCTGTGCCTGCTTGGAAATTTCTTGGCCTTCTGGCTCTACTTCAGGATTTTGTAGAATCCCTAAGGTCTTTGCAGGGGAAGCAAAATGATGCACTGGAAGGAACATGGGCTGGGGAATCAGAGTGGCTTGGGGTTGAATCTGCCTTTGCCCTTTGCCGGCTGAGGGATTGGAGAAGCTGCTTCAGTTCTCATCCTGGCTTTCTCCTTTGCAGGTTCAGGTGGGTGTCAGTGCCCCAACTCCCTGGCACTGCCATAGATCTATGGTGCTGGGGGCAACAGCTGCACATGGCCTATGACGGGTCAGTACAAATCAGACCTGTCTTCAACTCTCAGGACACCAGCCCCGGGGTCCTTGCCACCAAATTCCATCCTGGCACCCTGTGATACACTGACCACCATCTCTGACATTCCCATAGGAGGCAGGATGGGACAGACAGGGGAGGTGAGAGAAAAGCCCTTCTAAACAGAAAACAAAACAAGGTGTTTAGAGGACAACTCCCATGGACTGGTCCCCACTTCTGTGCTGTCTGATCAGTGCGTAGAAAAGGAAACTCACAATAAATAAAAGCTACTGGCCTTGTACGTTGAAAAGCCCTCCTCGATGGGACTGGGGCTGTGGAATGTTATGGTGAGGGATAGAGATTGGGAATTGAAGTGATTAATAAATCCATCATGGATCTCACTTAGCATTATTATTTATGTTGATCTGCACTTTCATTTGGCTGGGAGAATTATGGGTGAGCACCCGTGGGCCTCTCTCTCCTGCATTTTGACATAAAGGGCAGTACAGGACAGTCTGTTGCCCATCTGAAATTAAAGTAATTAAGCTGTAAGGTTTGAGCTCCTGTCTCAATTAGGGTTTTGACGAATTCAGTGTAATTAAATGTCTGCTGTATTTGCAGTTTGCAAACATGCCCACTACCTGTGTTCGCCTAGGGTGCTTTGGGGAGTTTTATGGGACAGGGAGGAAATTGCTTCTTAGAAGGTGGCTCAGAGAGTGGTTCTTGGCAACCCCGCAAGACATTTACAAGGCTGTGGTCCTACGAGTTTTCTTTATTTAAGAACAAAGAATAAAAGCAACAGAGAGAAAAACGCCAAGCTCTCCATGAAACTTACTCATGCACTTTGCATATTGCATTGAAAGGACTTCATGCCAATTTCTTAAAACAATGTGCTTATAAATTTAAATCCACCATTCTGAGCATGCTAAGCTTTAAATACATAACCACAAACAGAGAGTAAACAGTTTAACTGCATCCCAGATTAGGACTTTCCTATTCCGGTTATTACAGCCCGGCAGATGGCTCCAGTTTATAATCGAGCGTCCGTGCAACAGCCCGGGCTGCCTCCTAATGTGCCTGACGTTCTCTGGCAGGGCCAGCTCCTCTCCACTGACTTTGCCAATAGCACTCTGTCTGTGCTGCAGCAGCACCCAGAGGTTGCACCTCTGAGCTGGCACTTGCCACAAGGAGACTCAGCAAGCGTTCAGTCACAAGTTTTTAACTGAAAGGAAGTCCCAGAAAAGCGCACTGAAGACATTGAGGAAGTGAAGTAGGGAAGAGAAGGCAGCCAAGACAAGTGCGTTAACAGGCAAGGTATTGCAGCTGGACTCAATTCCGTGGTACCTGGGCAACAGTGTGGCACACGGGTGTGTATGCGATTTCACATATGAGCTGGGGAGCCAGGGTATTTATCCACTTACTTCCGTCACCCACTGATTAAGGACTTCTCCAAAAAATGTGATTTCTGCAGCATTCCAGCTTGCTAGGCTCAAGCTAGGTGGATTTTGGGGCCCCGAGAAGACCTCTGGCAGAGTGATAGAGGGACAGGCCATTGAAAAGCCCTAAAATGGTAAAAGTGGAGAGTTAGGAATGAACCCATAAAGTATTCACTACAAACTCAAGAGCAGGGCTTTAGAATTAGCCATCTGTTGGGTCTCATCTTTATCCGCAGTGGAGGATTGCTTAACCACAAGCATCAATATCAGGCAGACAATTAAGAGTCCAGGGCCAGAACATCTTGGATTTAGAGAATTTCCTCTGTTATTAAAAAGAACAGCTACCAGCTGGGCATGGTGGCTTACACGTATACTCCCAGCACCCAGGAGGCTGAGGTAGGAGGATCACCATGCATTCAAGGCCAACCTGGGCTACATAGTGAGTTCAAGGCCAGCCTGAACTACATTGCAAGACCCTGTCTCAAAACAAACAAAAATAACCAGCTACTGTTTATTAAGCTTTCCCCCTGTGCAGATACCACAGTTGATACTCTATAAATACTTGTAGAAATACACCTGTTGAGTTTTAAGGTAGTATTACCCTAACTGACAGGCAAGGAGATGGATTCTGGGGGCCAAAGGTGGATGGAGGTCTACGGAGATGGAAGTCTAGAGTTGATATGAATGCTGACCAGGAAATCCAA